TCATTAGTAATAGCAGGTGATTTAAATGCTAGGGTGGGAATTGATAACAATTTCATACCACTTTAAATTGGAATACCTCCGATGATACTGCATATTCAATGAAAATAGCAAGACTCTCTAGAGACAAGGTTATAAACAAGGAAGGTACACGTTTGCTCAAGCTGTGTAACAATTTTAAGTTACAAATTGTGAATGGCTCAACAGCTGGGGATAGAAACGGGGAATTCACACATTTCCCCCCTCGAGGATATAGTGTCATCGATTACATACTGGTCCCTTAAAAAGGTAAAGGGAACCCTGACCATTAGGTCCAGTCGTGACCGACTCTGGGGTTGCGGCGCTCATCTCGCTTTACTGGCCGAGGGAGCCGGCGTACAGCTTCCGGGTCATGTGGCCAGCATGACTAAGCCGCTTCTGGCGAACCAGAGCAGCACACGGAAACACCGTTTACCTTCCCGCCGGAGTGGTCCCTATTTATCTACTTGCACATGATGTGCTTTTGAACTGCTAGGTTGGCAGAAGCAGGGACCCAGCAACGGGAGCTCACCCCGTCATGGGGATTCGAACCGCTGACCTTCTGATCAACAAGTCCTAGGCTCTGTGGTTTAACCCACAGCATCACCTGCGTCCCTTACGATATTGTAAATCTGATAGTGGACTTCAAAACTGGGACGCGTACAGAAAGTGATCACCAACCACTGCTGATGTCTATAAATTTCAACTTCAATTTAGAAACAACTAATTGGAATAGCACAAAATTTTGCCAACACAAGCAAATGACCCAACTAAATGGTCTCAGGAAATGAGTGTAGTAGTGGGGCAAAAACTTACAGTTTATTTGAGAAACCAGGTGCTGTCTAAACTAAAGAATATCAATTCTCGTAGTGACATTCTGAAAGTATTTAGTGAAATTTTCAAAATGTCTGAACAACTCAACATTCCACCAATTGTCAGGGCATTTAAATACAGAACTAGACCCTGGTTCGACAATGAATGTTTTCAACTTAAAAGAAAATGTGCCAAATTTTCTAAGATAACCGTACTGAACTGTCTACCTTGCTGAAAAACGAAAATATATTTGTATTTTGGCCGAAAAGAAAAAAATATGCCTCCCAAAAATGGTCCCAGTTGCTCGACTCCATCCAAAACAAAAACAACACATCGTTTTGGTTGTTAGTGTATGGAGGCCTGAAACTTGGCAGCCATTTAGTTGTTCCACCAATTGCGGAATCCAAATGGACCCAGTATTTCATATCCCTATTTAATGACCTGCAAGGTGAATTGAATGGAAAAGAGAGCAATGATAACAACTGGACAGACTAGAGGAGCGGCCAAGGGTGAAAGAGAAAGAAATTAGAGGAATGGTTAATAGTTTTAAACTAGGCAAGTCGCCAGGGCAGGATGGTCTACCAATAGAATTATTTAAGACTTTCATAGACTGGTGGGCAGAACCCCTAGCTCAATTATTTACTCTCACTGATAAATATGGAATCATCCCTGAAATATGGCTCAGATCAATAATTATTCCAATCTTTTTTTAAAAAGTCATCTTTAGAAAAGGTGACCCAGGTGAACTAAAGAACTACAGACCAGTAAGTCTACTGTCAGTGACAGGGAAAATCTATGCTAAGCACCTGTTACTTATACTGCTTACATGAATGAAAAATCTAAACTTACCAGGGAAAGAACAAATAGGTTTTTCCAAAGGCTGCCCCAGTTTAGACCACTGTCTCATACTTACGCATTTGGTTGAAAAATACAGATTTCAAAATCAATCCAAGATTGATGCATGCAAAACAGAGGCTTTGACCACTGATCTATCCCTATCCAGAACTCCAGCTTCACAGAATAGCTCCAGATAACACATTATTTTCTGCCACAAGTCTCGTTTTCAAGGACCTCTGGGATTCCAACCAGCCAAGAATTTCATATCCCTTTCCTAAAAATAGAGCCACCCCACCCACAGACGTGCAGAACTGGAGGATCCTCTAGCAAAGCAGGGACACAGGGTCACTGAAAGGAAATCACAACCGATTCTCAAGTCTTTCTGCTCGCTGTGCGCTCTGGCACCCAGCCTCTCATAAGCTGTAATTGTCATGGCACCGGCTATAAGACTCCATAGGCCAACACATCTCTTCCCAAGGCTAAAAGGCACTCAGGTAGATTGGGTTGATCTTGGAAGACCAGGGTGGCTCATCCACTGAAATGGACAGGCAGCAGAGAAGTTCTTAGTCAAATTATATGCAAATAACATTTGGAACTCCTTGCTGTGGGACAGTACTGAGCCAGCAAAAAATGGCTTTAAGATAGATCAGATGACTGTATGTATGACAGAGCCATGGGCAACTGTTACGGGATTAGGGCTAAGCCAATGGAGTTCATTGTCCTCTCATTTTCCGTCTGGAATCACCTGTGCACATGGGAGTAAGTCTCATTCTGTCCCGTCCTGCCTGCTGCCAAGGACCTCTCCATACTCCTTCTTCTAGCTTAATTTCCAGGAAAGTGGGCAAAACCTGGAGTTACAGCAAGGCAATGAGAAGTCTAAGGAAAAACAGCAGGGGGAGAGCCTCACGTTCATTGCACCTCTCAGTTAAACCCCCATTCCCCACTTGGAACAGAACTGCAATGCAACGCAAAAGCTGGCAAAGACTTTCCAGATGCACAAATGGTGGCCTCAGACCAAGGTGCTCCTGGCAGGAAGGGGCCTCCAAGTTTGCAGAAGGCGCTGCTGGGTGAACTCCCAAAGGTGCCACCTCTGGACAGGATTACCAATTCTGCCAGATTACTTGGCATCTGGTCAGGTGGCCCAGAGTACCAACAAGCCTCTTCCTGCAGGGCTGCCACCAGCAGCCGGCCAGGCTGGTCACAGGCCAAGGGCCCCAGGGGGCTTGCAGTGGCACCTAACTGGCTGTCCTCGGCCTCATCCATGATCTCCCAAAGCTGCCCACCATTTTAAGTTACTTAAAATGCAATGCCCTGGCCTACTGATCTTGAAATTTACCACAATTTGAAGTAAGTAAGACACCTTGTCACCCAAAGAGGGCGCTTCCCATTAAACCATGAACTCCACTCTAGCTAATGTGTCAAGGAGAGACACAGAAAGTGCGATTTTTGCATCACTGCTTATTGAGATTCATCCTGACTTGTTTTCATAAACCTTGTGGGAGGTTCAGAAGACCTCCACTGTTTATTGAGAATTCAGATGTGTTCATTTCTACAGCTGCATCAAGCATTCATTATCACACATTTCCCATTACACTTTCCCACCACTTTTCTTATTGCAAAAAGTGCAGTTTGGGGGTGGAAGCGAATCTGTTACACTTGATCATCAAATCCACTGCACAAACTGACTTTGCCAGTACACAACTGAATCCCACCTGAAAACAGCAAGCGGCTGGAAGCCAGGTGTCAGAGCCAGGTGTGGGTGATGGGGTGGAACAGAGAGAAAAAGGGAGCAGGAGATTTGTTGTTGTTGTTGAGTCATGGCAGACTCTTCGTGACCGCATGGACCAGAGCATGCCAGGCACTCCTGTCTTCCACTGCCTCCCGCAGTTTGGTCAAACTCATGCTGGTAGCTTTGAGAACACTATCCAACCATCTCGTCCTCTGTCATCCCCTTTTCCTGTTTCCCAACATCAGGGTCTTTTCCAGGGAGTCTTCTCTTCTCATGAAGTGGCCAAAGTCTTGGAGTCTCAGCTTCAGGATCTGTCCTTCCAGTGAGCACTCGGGGCTGATTTCCTTAAGAATGGATATGTTTGATCTTCTTGCAGTCCGTGGGACTCTCAAGAGTCTCCTCCAGCACCAGAATTCAAAAGCATCAATTTTTCGGCGATCAGCCTTCTTTATAGTCCAGCTCTCACTTCCATGCATCACTACTGCGAAAACCATAGCTTGAGCTATACAGACCTTTGTTGGCAAGGTGATGTCTCTGCTTTTTAAGATGCTGTCTAGGTTTGTCATCGTTCTTCTCCCAAGAAGCAGGCATCTTTTAATTTCGTGACTGCTGTCACCATCTGCAGTGATCATGGAGCCCAAGAAAGTAAAATCTCTCACTGCCTCCATTTCTTCCTCTTCTGTTTGCCAGGAGGTGGTGGGCCCAGTGGCCAGGATCTTAGTTTTTTTGATGTTGAGCAGGAGATAGGGAAGGGCATTTGCAGCAATCACAAGGAGTTTCATTGTGTTGGGAGAAGATCAAAGACAAAGATGGTGTGTGGCTAGCTAAGTAGTGGCACCACAAAACAAGCAGACAGACCCGAGGATTAGCAGGCAAGTCAAAGTTTGGACCCAAGCCGCTAGGTGCTGTCAGTGGCACACTTGGGTTTAAATGCACTCGCTGCATTTGGATGTGAGGTTGATTGCATTAGTTTCCCTGGTTATGATAGCACTTCTGTCAAGATATCTGATGTTCCCTTTACACTGTGGTACCAGTTGAGTTATCGAACTGTGAATTTTTAACTGATATGCTGCCCTGTTATGCTAAGTGTTAAAGGGTGGAGAAGAACTGTATGCAGGATACCACCCCACATTTCATCACACAAGTGTGGTGTTGTGCTCATGCAGACTGGGGGGGAATTACTGGGCAAAACTCCTGCGATTTCCCAAGTGAACAGAGTTGAAAGTGGATTTTTTACCCTGGAAATAATTAGTACAGACATATGTGCTAAACTTTGGCTAGGCTCCACTAAATAATAATAATACTACCCCACCCAGAAGTGGCTTTTACATTGTGTGAAAGATCACATGATGCTCCAAAATTAACCGGCAAGGAAACATTGGGAAGATGGAATAAATATAGACAGCAGTCCAGGATGCACACAGCATCTAAACTGTTACTTCTGACCTCTCAGAAATTGCCATTTGGTTCACCTGTCTGTTTCAGTATATCCATAATCATGATTGTAAAATTAAAGCAGGCTCGGGGGTCTGCAAATTATAGAATCATAGAGTTGGAAGGGATAACAAGAGCCTTTTACCTCAACCCCTGCAAGGCTGAAATCTTTTGCCCAACATGGGGCTCGAACCCTCAACCCTGAGAGTCTCATGCTCTACCAGCTGAGCTATCTCCATTCCCTTCTGGACAACCTTCCAGGGGTCACATGCCAGTGGTGCTCAGGGCCAGAGGCAAAAAAGGGCAGAGCAATGAACATAAATTTTACCTAGGTTCTGTACACATTCACATGCCCCTTTCTATGATCCCCTACCCAGGTGAGCAGAAGGAATGGCCAGAGTTCAAGGACATATTCCAGCCAGGCAGAAACACTCCAAGAGAGTATGAAGCAGGGATGGTGAGAAGGGTGTCTGAGGAGGGTGAGTGGCCTGTGTTCAGTCAGCAGCCAGATAGACCCTGAGCTTCCCCGCCCTGTAATAAAAATCTCACGCTTGTTCCCCAAAGGGAGCCTAGGCGGCTCACAATAATAGTATCACGTAGTAACAAGGCAAAGCAACATTTAAACATATTGCAATTAAGACAGCAGTGTAAAAACTTCAAAAAACTATCAGTCAAAAGCCTTCTTAACCCATAACTACTACTACTACTACTACTACTACTACTACTACTAATTTATATCCCGCCCATCTGGCTGGGTTTCTCCAGCCACTCTGGGCAACTCCCAACAGAATATTAAAAACATGATAAAGCATCTAACATTAAAAACTTCCCTAAACTCAATTATTCCAATCTAAATATACTTGCATATTACTGAAACCTCAGTAGAGAGATGTCTTTTTGAGATAATAAAGTGAGTGAGGTAAGGAGGCTGGAGATGGGGGTATCATTTCTACCCTTGCAATGCTAAAAGATCCCTCCCCTTGCAGGACAGGGCAGCCAAGGATTCCAGAGGAGCAAGGATGAGCCCTGAAGCACTGCGGGGAGGGGGTCATTTTGGATCCATCCCAAGCAGCAGAACCATCCTGACAACTCAATTGAAGCCCCCGAAACAGCAGCACTTAGATGGGGTGGGTGGGCAGCCTGTGACACTCAACAGACTGAGATCTCTCTCCCCCTCCTGGCAAGATCTCCAGGAGTCTGAAGGTTGTTGTCAAAGTAGATCTTCCGCAGTAATTATTTGTTCCAGGGAAGGCTCGACTCAGACTCAAGGTCCAGAGGAAAGACTTCTGTGGATGATTAAATCTTTCCTACTCATTATTTTTGCTATGTCTGCAGGATCAACCCAGCCGTGAGAGAAGGAGCAAGATCCTAATGCATCTTGTGCTCTGTCAACAGAATTGCTCACTAAGTTCTAATTGCAGGATCTTTATTACCATGGACGGTGCCAGAGCCAGGAGCAGCAACCTTGGTATTCCAGCTGGAGAGAGGAGGAGATCTGGTTCTGTGCCGCCCCAGAGGCAACCTGGCTCAAGCCTCAAAGGCTCCTTCAGAGGACCTGTTAACTGAGCCGCCATCCTGATTTGTTGGTGCGACACTTGCACAGAGGTTTATCAGTCGGTTGTCATGGTTAAGGCTGTTTTGTAAGACATGAGGAAACTCCCTGGGTTGGAGATCGGCAGAGCTGTGAGAAGCAGGGAAGCAGATCCATTGTCTGCTGCACAGGACAGAAGGAATGCACGCATGTGCATAGAAAGAAGTGGCTCGCCACGCTTTACTTTTTGCATACCAACTCCAGGCTGGCCCAGGTGAAGGACTTTGTGGGACGTGTGTGGCTTCAGATCCTCTGGATCCCAAGCTTCTGGCACCCCAACCCCAAACACTCCATTTCAGGGCTTCCTGCTGCTGGTTACCCGCATGTTGGCTGAAGCCGAAGGGAGCTGTAGTCAAAAAATCTGGAGGGCACCAGTTTGGGAGAGGCCCCCTTGCAGGCCTCATGTGAAGATCACCACAAGGAAACATATAAGAAGCACCATAAATGCTGTTGACACCCCACATAAATCCTAAGTGGGTTGTTTTTTGTTTTCGTTCAGATTGCAAAATAATTTGTGGATTTACGGGATAATCCAGTTCCACGTGGAACTGCAGAGGGATTGCCAAAGGATGAGACACCATAACCGCCATTGCCCTCAATGGGTTGCATGCCCACTGGCTGGGGCTGCTAGAGGGATCAGGCAACCTGTGACCACTTCTCCCTTGACTGGATTCTACTCACTCAAGCTCAGAGGTGAAGTGACTTCTGAGGATAGCAGCCAACTCTTCCCCCACAATAAATATTTGAGGGGGCCAGCCCTCTCCCCCATGTTGATGAGTGCTGCCATTCAAATGGTGTGTGTGTGCCACATCATGTGATTGCTCATGTGGGGTGAAGCTTACCTGCCCCCCTCAATATTTTATTGAAGTTGGCACCCCTGCTCCTGAACAAAGCATGTGCACTGGAAAAGGACTAGGAAGAGGATGCTGTTGAGCCCTGGAACAATTTCTTTGTGTGAAGGCCTCCTGAGCCGGTGGGGTACTAGATTGTAAAAGACAGCCTGGAATACAATTACCGATTATGCCCCAGAACAGCCTTCTGTAAACTTGTGTCCTCCAAAACATCAGCCCTGGTCAGTGTTGAGATGTGCCTTTTGCATTCTGCATGGTTGTTTCTGCAGCCTTCTAACCTTTGGCAACCTGATGCCCTTCAGATATTTCGACTACAATTCCCATCAGTCCTGGCCGGCATGGACAAAAGAATGCTGGAGCTGATGGGAAGATGGCTCTGTCAGTAGAGCTGATGGGAGTTGGAGTCCAAAACATCTGGAGGGCACCAGGCTGGCGAAGGCTGTCCTAAAAGAGCTGTAAGAACAATATATGTGAAGTCAGGTGGAGCTGCTCTTCAGAACCTCATTTTAAAATATGATTGCCTATAGACTGGGATTATATTGTATGCAAAGAAAGACCAACAAGCATGAAGGAAAACAATACATCTAGGGCAGAATTAAGTCAGGCCCAGCCATAACAGAAGCACTGATGGACTATCTTCAGCCACTGGAAAGATTTCTCCCATTTTCTCAAGGTCATTAAAGTGCAAGGTCATCTGGCCTCCTCAGGCCCTACAGCAAAGCAGAAGGCCCTATTTCTTGTAGCCCCTAGCCCAATGTCCAAAGGTGGAAGCAGAGATCCACTTAGAGGACACTGTGGCTTGCGAGGGAAGCTATATATGGAAGGAAGCTGTCCTTAAGGTACCCAGGTTCCCATTCAGCTAGGAATCACTGAAAAGCAAATTACTATGATTATGTTATAATGACTGTTCCATCAGCAGAGAGCGCCTACCTGCGTTTCATAGGAAACTCAGGAAGTCCTGCTCAAAAGGAGCTTAAGACCTAAAGCAGACAATGAGGAAAAGACACAGAGAGAAAAGCAGGAAGTATGTGGACAAACCGCTTGGATGGCTCAGTCGGTAGAGCCCCATGCATTACAGGGGGTTGGGCTAGATGACCCTCGGGATCCCTTCCAACTTTATGAAATGCCATGGCACACACTGAGAGCTGGTTGAATGGAGACAGTGGGTAAGCAAAGATCATGCAGAAAAGGGAGATCCCAAGGAAGGATTTGAATGAAGGTGGCACCCTGTCCCCAAGCCCATCAGCAGAGCTCTTCTGGGTGACGCCTAAGGCCCATCTAGTTCAGCATCCTGTTCTCACAGTGGCCAACCAGGAGTCTCAAAGGGAAGCCTGTCAGCAGGACCTGAGCACAACAAACCTCTCCCTCCTTGTGATTCCCAGCACTGGCATGCAGAGGCCTTTGACATGGCAGGAAGGAGATGGCCTTCCTGGCCAGTGAACAAGGCCAGCCCTTCATCCTCCATGAATTCATCTAAGGCCCTTTTAAATCTGTCCAAGTAGGGGGCCATCCCTACGTCTTGTGGCAGTAAATTCCGCATTTGACTGTGTGTTGTGTGGAGTACTTTTTGGGGGTCTATCCTGAATATTTCAACCATCAGCTTCATTGGAGGTCCCAGAATTCTACTAGCATTATGAGAGAGGAAGAGAAGTATGTCCTCGTCCACTTTCTCTAGACCATGGATAATTCTATGTAACTCTTATCATGTCCCCCTCACCCTTACTCACCCTCGGCTAAATTTAAAGACCCACTTTTTTTAACCTTTCCTTGCAGGGGACTTGCTCCAGCCCCTTATCCTTTTGTTTGCCTTTTTCTGCATCTCCCATGATGGAGTTCTGCACTTAGTTACAGTGCAGCAAGGAGAACGGGCAGAGAGGTTGAAATGAGCAGGAGAACACCTTTGTTTCTGCAAGGCTCCTCACCTCCTCCACCCCCAAGTCCGCTTGAAAAGATTTCACATTCTATACCTAGAAAAGCCCAATTAAAAGATGCACGGCTACAGAGGCGATAGGCACCGTTTGGTTCCATATAGGAATTTGGGGAGTTTGGGAGCAGTTGTTGGGTTTTTTGGGGGGAAGGCTTTGCAAGGTGCCCACCAAACGTTTTGGTCTGCAACTCGCATTGGGGCTGATGGGAGCTGTAGTTCAAAACAACTTGATGGCACCAAGTGGGGAAAGAGTGATTTATAGTCTTTTTTGTCCCATTCCTCAGCTTCTAACCCTTGGCTCAAAGGGTAGGCCTGCTGTCTGCATCTTGACTGTCCAGGCAGCATAGCTCTGTGCATCTGGCACTGGGAATAACTGGCCAGAGATGCACCCTGCCTTCCCAGGAGGCTGGTCCTCATGGACCTTTCCTTGCTCTTGCCCAGCAAAGCAATTCATGCGCCATCCTAGTCATCAGTCTCCCATCTGGCCCCCCTAAAGGTGTCTTAAATCTTCACCTCAGTATAGGGCCATCTCTTGTCAAGCAGATTTATTATGATTATATATCTTTAACCAGAAACTGAGATGCAGCGTGTAATGTGTTCCCTTGAGCAAGGTCAGAGCAAGCCTGGGACAATGATGCAGCAACTGTGAGCATATTTTAAAAATAGGACTAAGCTGCCGCCGTGCTAAACCCACCCTGAGAGATGGCTGAAACTGCTGACTCAGCAATGGGATGTTCCATCTAGGGGCAAGCTGTTCTCACACACGTCTCCCTCCTTCCTGCCACCCAGAAGGGTTTGGGGGTAGAGAATGTCTGGGGTTTCTCTACTCTCCAGTTCCCTCCTTGGTCCCTCCCTCCCTCCTTCTCC